CCACATATCAATATGTTTATTACAGAGTCCCAGAATAATAATTATTGCGTGGTAGAGTTTTTAAAAAGTCATTAAAGTTTTCGTAAAAAATATCTTTTGATAATAATTATGTGCGAGGAAAATCTTTTAAGTCATCGTCAACTATTATTTGGAGACCTATATTATAAAAGCTTTTTCATAATAATTAGCATTGAGATAAATATTTTTAAGTCTTCAAAGACTTTTATATTGAAACTTATATTAAATAAGTTTTTTCATAATAATTATTAGTGCGAGAATTTTTTTTAATTCTTAAAGAATCCTTTAACACTTAAACAATTTTTTCGGGCACATAATTATTATGAAAAGACTTTTATAATATAAGTCTCAAAATAAAAGTCTTTGAAGACCAAAACATATTTAACTCATTGATAATTGTTATGAAAGGACTTTTATGATATAACTCATTGAATAATAACACTGGATCACAAATTTTAATTTGGTTTTTGTTCTCCAGATGCCACTCTCCAATTTGTGTGTAGAATCGCTCGCTGATTCCAAAATTCGAGTTAATTTTTTTTTTGTATCGAGAAAGGTTGCTGGAAATTCCCAGTGCGAACAGCCAAAAAGCTTTATCAGAAATTTCGCCTTTCGGAAACCAAAAAACCTCTTTCGAAAGACACTTTACATGCAAGGTGTGACTGCTCATGCAAATGCTTTTTGAAATTTCTCAATTTATTTATTTATTTATTTATTTAGTCTATGAAACAATATTTCTTACAGACTAGGAGATAAATGGTTTTGCTAATGCTAGTACAATATTAACATTATAAGGTATTGTGAAGGAGATTTAAAAAAGCTTGTTTTGTCATAGAGAAATCAATTATGATTCTTTCCGATAATATATTAAGTTCTCGCATAGATCTCGCCAAGGGAGCATTACTAGAAAATCTTGTCTTGACTTTTGCCAAGTAAAATGGATAAGAGACTCGAAGATTGCGCCTGGGTACATTGAAGCTAATCCGTTC